TGTGTGTGTGTGTGAATGTGTGTGTATGCAAGTACTTGTGTGCCTGTTTGTTTTGTTTGAGTGTGTGTTAGTGTTTGCTTGTATGTGTGTGTATGTGTGTGCATATAAACTTATGTAAGCATCGCCCGTTTTTCCTTTACTGAATGTTTTACTCACTCACCTTTCCCGTATTGGTAATGATGATTAGAGTGATGATGATTACGATAATGACGATCTAGACGATGATCAAGATGATGATAATGACAAAGGAAACGAAAATCACGACGACAAGGACAACCAACACGACGATGACGACGACAATTATTTGTTATGATGATGATGATGATGATGATGATGATGATGATGATGATGATGATGATGATGATGATGATGATGATAACTGGAATAAACGTATCGCAATTCCCTCTTCTGTTGAACTCTAGGCCTTACGTGAAGGAGATCTGGTTAGGTCTGAGCGACATTGCTACTGAGGGTTCCTTCGTGTGGGATGATGGGACGCCTCTTGTCTGGAGCAAGTGGAGTAGCGGTGGGTTTTTACTGCTGTTGTTGTTGCTGTTGCTGTTGTTGTTGTTGTTGTTGCTGTTGTTGCTGTTGTTGTTGTTGTTGTTGCTGTTGTTGTTGTTGCTATTGTTGTTGTTTTTGTTGTTGTTATTGTTGTTGCTGCTGATGCTGTTGTTGTTGATATTGTTGATTTTGTTGTTGTTGTTATTGCCGTTGTTGTTGTTGTTGTTGTTGTCGCTGTTGCTGTTGTTGTTGTTGTTTTTGTTGCTTCTGTTTTTGTAGATGGTGTTGTTGTAGTGGTTGCTTATGTCGCTGTTATTGCTGTTTTCGTTTTTGTTGTTGTTGTTGTTTTTTGTGGGGGTGATTTGTTGATGATGTTTTTGCTATTGTTGTTGTTTATAAGCAGTTGTAGTAGTAGTGGTATTTTTGTTCTTCTTGTTGTTATTGTTAATTTTGTGTAGGTGTTGTCTGTTGCTGTTGTTGTTGTTGGTGGTGGTGGTGCCACTTTTCTCGGGTTGTTGCAGTTGTTGTTGTTGTAGATGCTGTTGTTGTTGTTGTTGTTGTTGTTGTTGTTGTTGTTGTGGTTGCTGATGTTGCTGTCGTAGTTGTTGTTGCTGGTGTTGCTGTAGTTGTAGTGGTTGTTGATGTTGCTGTTGTTGTTGTAGTTCTTGTTTTTACTGTTGTTGTTATTGCTGTTGTTAATGTAAGTAAGGCTGGTATTTATGCTGTTCTTGCTGTTGTTGTCAGTATTGTAAAGTTAGTGTTATTTTTGTTGTCCTAATTGTTGTTGTTGCTGTTGCTGCTGTTTTTATGTAACAGCAGCAAAAATATGTGAGTCAGCGAGGTGGAATCAGACTCTCGTCAATTTTTGAGCATGTAGAGTTATAGGTATCATCTTAAAGATTGTTCATTTGTCTTTATTTGGATGAAAAAAATGTCCATGTATCTTGAATACAAATTGAGATATTTGCGAAAGATGGAGTTGGGGGTCACCTGTTTTCAGAGGTAAAATTAGTGAGAAAATGGCCGCCAAAGATTTGTTATTTCTTTAGTTTAAGAGTCCAGGGTAACTGACAATTTTCATTTTTTGCGCCTTTAATTAACGTTTTTCAGAAAAATCCACACAGAAATGAGTTCTTTAATTGGTATGAAAGGTGTTGGGCCAAAAAACATAAATTTGATTCCACCACGCTGCCTCACATATACTAGTTAACAGAAATTTAAAGCAACAAAACTAAATCGATATAGTTGCTTCTCTTACTGTTCTACTCTACTTCCACCTCCTGCTGCTGCTGATGGTGGTGATGTTGATGATGATGAGCATGGCAACGATTATGATGATCATTTCCCATCTTATCCCCCAACTCAACCCTCCACACCTCATTATACTTCCACATCCCCCAACCCCCCCTCTG